GCTGCCCTGTAGCTGACCACGTGCTAGGGGCCAGACGTGGAAGTGGGGAGAAGGCTGCACATGGAATTGCCCATCTTGGGATTCATCTGCGAGGGCCACGTGGACATGGAAGGAGGACAGGGCTCGGCTCTGAGAGCCAAGGGGAGCTGGCTTGGCCAGGAGGTGGCCAAGAAGAACAGCTGCCTGCCGCATGGGCCCTGGGTGAATGCTCCCAAGTGTTCAGCCTGCAGTGGGGCACCAGCTCACTGCCATTGACTCAGTGCTGGCTCAGTGACGCCCTGGGGTTTCCAAGACTCTCTGTTCACAGGAGTAGAAAGTCCAGTCTTTCTCCAGCAGAGCTTCTGGTGCTTTTGAACTGCCAACCACGCAGATCGCAGCCCAACACGTACTGGCGACTGGGCAGTGGGGCAGCCCAACACAAACAGCAACTCGGCGGTGGCAGCGCAGTCGCTGGGAAGGCCGGCCCTGCGGCTGTGCGGTCTCTGGACTGTGTCACTAGCAGTATTGGGAAGGTTAGGACGGACTTCTATTTTCAGTTGTCTGGAGTGACAGCAGGCGCCCATGTGCTTGGCACGGATTAGGAATGTTCCACTCCACCCCCGGCTTAGGGTATGCTGGTCTCACTGTGGGCCATCAGGGAGGTTCTGCGTTCCATCCATCCCTGCACCACCGGGGCCTGCCTGAGGAATGGTGTCCTCAAAGGTCTCCGGGAGGAAGGATCCTGGCCAAGGAGACAGGGCAGCTCGTGTGCTGGGAAGCAACCTTATCTCCTGAGCACCAGATTTTGGACCTGAGTAGGAGTCCTGGTGGCACAGTGAGTTACACATCGAGCTGCTACTTGCGAGTTCAGTGGTTCAAACCCACCAGATGCTCCAAGGGAGAAAGATGAGGCTGTCTGTCCTGTACAGATTGGCAGTCTGGGAATGCCACAGGGGCAGTTACACCCTGCCCTGCAGCATCACCATGATGAGTTGAATCTACTCGATGGCAGTGAGTGTCAACTTTGTTTTGAAAGAAACCACCCGGATCACAGGTGGCAGCTGGTCACACGTAAAGTAGCCATGACTGAGCCAATCAGCACTGCCTATCTCCTAACCCGTAAACAGCAAAACAAAACAAACCCATGCCATCGACTGGCTCTAAGCTCACTTAGGTTTCCAAGGCTGTAAGTTTTTACAGAAGCAGACAGCCTCCTCTTTCTCTCAAGGGGTGGCCGGTGGGATTGAGCCACTAACCTTGTGTCTACTTAGCTTCCCAACACCTACCCTGCAGCACCACCTGCTCTCCCATTTCCCACTCGGTCAAACTCTGACTTAACACGAGATTGATTTGCCAGGCGACACATCCCCTGCCCTGGCTTCTGTCTGCCATAATTGAACTGTTGCAAACCGGTTCCAAGGCCGCTTTCTAGAAGAGTCCCCAGAAGGCTGAACTCCTGGATGTTCCCCAGAACACAAGGCCAGAAGGACCATGATGGATGGAGGGTCATCGGGCTGAGGACTGGGGAGAGGCAGATGGACACTTACTTCTTCCAGCCTTGGCCCTGCAGTGTCTTGGTTCATTGACGGCAGTGTGGAATGGCCGCCTTCTGGTGTGGCTCGTGAGGGAGCAACAGTGACTTGCCTGGCACCCAGGAGGCCTTGTCCATTAGGAGAGCGGAGGTCACTTCAGAAGCAAGCAACCAGGGAAGGCGGTTGTCACCTGTCAGCAAGCCGCCTGGCTTCTCTCTGGACGTGGAGGCTCTTGTAGTGAGTGTGCTGTGGGGTGCTGTGTCAACCCCAACTCTCAGGGACCCTGCAGGGCAGAGCGGAGCCGCCCTGTCCCTCGGGTCCCCAAGGTTGTCGCCGTACAGGAGCAGGCAGCCTTGTCTTTCCCCCTCAGAGAGGCCGGTGGGTTTGAACCATCAACCTTGCCGTTAGCAGCCCCGCACTTAACCACAGAGCTACCAGGCCTACTTAGAGAACGTTGCCAAGCTGACCACCATGCATCAGGCAGGAAGAGAGGCCAGCGAGGCCAGCGGCATGTCCACACTGGACACAGGTTCCTCCAGAAACATCTGTGTCAGTGGTGGTTCATTAAAAAAAACACAAAAAAAACCTAAGTTTTAAATGTCGCGAGGCCCCGGTGATATCTATAATTCTGTTAAAATGTCCTTTTGAGGCCAGATTGCCGCGGGAAGACATCCTACAGGCGACAGAGACTTTGAGGCCCGTGTGCTGGCGTCTCTGGCTTGAGACTCAAGACAACACCTTTCCTTGTTGCTGAGGAGCCCTGGTGGAGCTGTGGATTAGGCACTGAGCTAGTAATGGTAATACAGTGAACCCTCGTTTATCGCGGTTAATCAGTTCTAGACCCTACCGTGATAAATGAAATTCCGCGAAGTAGGATTCCTTATTTGTAAATCAAATATTTTCGTAGTTAGAGCATAGAGGGCATGAAAAAGCACCCTTTAGTCACCATTACACTCGTATTACCCAATTTATTAAACGAAAAAGGGGAAATACAGTAAAACATTTTGGACGTTACAATTATCATTTATTATTTATTATATTATTTATGGCATCAAGCGTGTACAGTATGAGCCAATCAGTGGCAGTAATGACAGAGCATGCGCTGTTATGCAAAAACCGCGATAGAGTGAAGCCGCGGAAGTTGAAGCGCGAAGTGGCGAGGGCTCACTGTATGTTGGAGGTTCAAACCCACCAGGTGCTCTGAGGGAGAAAGATGAGACTGTGTGCTTCCATAAAGATAGAATGGTCTCAGAAACCCCCGGGGGCAGTTCTCCTCTGCCTCCTAGGGTTGCCGGGAGTCAGGATTGCCTCAGTGGCAGTGGGTTTTGGTTGGCGTAGCAGTTACATCATCTGGTGTCAATTTGGGAGCTGAGAGGATTAAGAGTGAAGGGGCGGAGTCTAGTCTGTCAGTCTGATCATAGCCAGTGAGGCCTCTGTGTGGGCATGGCCTTAGGTGGGAGACAGACTCTCTCTCTTGGCTCACTCCCTTGGAGACTCCCTACTGACAAGACTGCTATGCCCTGGGAGCTGGAGAAGCCACATGGACCTACCCTGACACAACCAGACCTCTCGAGCCAGAAGAACCACCTAGAGACCCCTGCCAGTGCTGAGATGCTTACAACGCCACAGGATCCACAAGACTTCCCACCCACTGGCTTGTGATCCTCCTGCATTTGGCATCATTGCATGTATTTCATGAGTCCGAAGACCCTATAGATTGGTATCAGACATACGGGCTACTATTGGACTTACGGACTTGACCTGGACTGAGCTGAGACGCTTTCTCAATATTCAATTGCTCTTATATGTAAACCTCTTTCATATACACATATGAGTGTCTATGAATTTGTTTCTCTAGTGTACCAAGTTTAACACAGTGTGGTTTCTGGTTATTATACCAAAGCCCCAAACTTACTGCCACCAAGTTGCTTCTGACGCTTAGCCAGCCTGTAGGACCTGCCACTGTAGGACCTGCCACTGTGGGCTTCCAAGGCTGTCAGTCTTTATGGGAGCAGATTGGTAGGTTTGAACTGCCGACCTTGTGGCTAGCAGCCCAACTCGTAACCACTTCGCCATCAGGGCTTCTCCCAGAGGTCATGAGATTATGATAAACTGAACTGTTGATGATGGTTCCGTCAGTCCCAGAGACAAGTGGAGTAAACCTTCCACACCTTGTCAATTGTATGTGGCAGTCTTTCAGGGTCCCAAAACAACTTACCGTATATACTTGTGTATAAGCTGAGTTTTTCAGCACACTTTTCATGCAGTTCTTGTGGTAAAATGAGGTGCCTCGGCTGATATTCAGGTCGGCTTATACTCGAGTATATACGGTAGTTGTCAGTTGAGCACAAACTGAGCACACCATCGATACCGCAAGTGTGGGTTTCGCTCTGGGCCCCTGCTGCTGATACAGGTCGGGGTGAGCACCAGGGTCGCTGAAGTCCGGATGTGGGTCTTCTCGCGGACAGACCTGCTCTATTTCCTGTGTCCTGCTCTGGTCGGCGTGATGCGTCAGGTGGCCGTGGACTCACCAGCAAAAGGGGACGCGCGTTTCGGGGTACACTTGGTAAAACCATTGTTTGCCCCTGGTCTACATGGTCAAGCAGGTTACATTGTTTGCCCGCAGCACATGGTCAAGTGGGCCAGCCAGGAATGACCTTTGGCAGTGTGCACCTGGACGGGGCCAGGGACCCATGTGTAGGGTATAGACACTGAAAGGGGGGTGGTGGGGTTATCGGCAAGCTTCTCATCTGCAGGAAGCTCCCAGGTTGGGCACACCCATGCGTGTGATGTCAGCATGCCCTCAGGGTAACAAGGTTAACCCACCCACATGCAGCAGACCATTCAGCGCCTCCCCTCGCTGCGTCTTAAGTCCTTGAGAAGACCCTGAGCCCCTGTTCTGCATGCAAACCCACAGCCTTCACGTCAATCCCGACCCACAGGGTGCCCAGAGGGCAGAGCAGAGCTGCCCCTGTGGGTTTCCGAGGCCGGAGCTCTATGGAGACAGAAAATCCCATCGCTCTCCTGTAGAGCAGCTGGTGGGTTTGAACCCCCGGCCTGGGGCTCAGCAGCCCAACCTGTAGCCCACTGCATCTCCAGGGCTCCTTGCCTGCAGGGAAGTCCAGCTACCTGAGACCCAGACCCACCTGTTCTGACGCACCCATGGTTTCTTAGAGGCACAGTTAGGAACAAGTCCGGCGTCACTGTCAAGCAGGGGGCGGCCTGAGGCAGAAAGGCCCGGCCAGGGGCGTTCCTCACGTTGCACTGCCAACATTTAATGCTCTCCTGAGGGTTGAGTCTGACCTGACTCTACATGGTCTCTTGTATAAGAGATTCACATGCGTGTCTGTCCTGAGAGATTCACCTCTCCAAGGGCGAGAGTGACGTACGTACCTGCTTCGTGGACGTGAACTGGTGATTAAACGTGTGTAAGTGCCTGCCCTGCCTAACCCAAGGGGACTCTCGCTCCCCGTCCCTTTTGTCTTTCAGAACGAAAGTGCCCTTGTGAAAGAGAAGCAACTGTCCATCGAGCTTGCGAGCATCAGGGATGAAGTGGGTAAGTCAGGCGCTGGGGGAGGGCCAGGAGGAAGGGTCACTGCCTGAGCCCAGGACCAGCTGGCATAGGCTGCATGGCTCCTGGAGGAGAATGGGTCCACTCACGGTGTAAAGCCCAAAGTTTCCAGGGTCAGGACCCACCACATAAGCCCAAGGAAGGCAGAGGCGATCCAAGCTTACCATGCATAAACCCAAATCCCCGCCAACCGGTGGGTCAGCATTGGTCAGGTGGTATGCCGCCATGGGAGCAGTCCCTGCCAAGTTCTTCCCTGCCCCGAGTTTTGTCTCATCGTTCCAATGACTCTGAAATAGACATGGGTGTTGTTCGCCCACCGATGAGGAAATCCGGGTTTATATGTCCTGGGTGGTTTCTTTAAGAGCATACGGCCAGTACTGGGTAGAATCCAGTCTTGAACGTAAGTCCAGAATTCCTCCCACATAAAGTATGAAAGAGGAGAACTGGGGGCACAAGCGTTGGGCTGAAGGTCTGAAGTTCAAGACCATCAGCCAGCCTCTCCTCAGGAAAAAGACGCTGCTTTCTAGTCCCCTAAAGAGTTACAGTCTCAGGGGCAGCTCTACCCTGTCCTATAGGGTCACTGTGAGTCGGCATCGGCTCAGTGGCAGTGAGTTTGAGTGTGACAGTCTTTCCCCATCTCTTTTCCTCTAAGATTTTTTTGTCTGCTTGTTTGTTTTGGCCATTTCCAATTTGGTCAACTTGGGGGAGGGGGGGAATCAAGCTTGCCAGAAATCTCTTGTCTCTCCAAATTCTGTGTCATGGCCTCACGGATTCCTATGCGAAGCACCCAGGAGTCTGACCAGGCCCTGGTCATCAAGTGATGACATCACAAGAAGGTGGCGCAGTGGGTTAAGCCGTGGTCCTGCTAAGCGCAAGGCTAGCGGTTCAGACTCACCAGCAGCTACATGGGAGCAAGAGGAGGCTGTCTGCTTCCGTAAAGATGGCAGCCTTAGAAGCCCACTAGAGCGGTTCACTTCTGTTGCTACGAGTCAGAATTGACTTAAGAGCAGTGAGCTGAGCTGAGCTGGAGCTAACACTAGTCAAGAGAGCCAGCTGTGTATATTGGTAGCAGACAAAACAGACATCAGACCGAGGACTAGGCACACGGCACATCAGAATCCATGGATATGCGTCCATTCGCTCAGAAGTACGGGCGCAGCCCAAGCACGCTAAGCACTGCACTGGGCGTTCTTGTCGTAAAGGGGCGAACGTTACTAGAAAGTTTCCATCTAGTACGTTTAGTCTTCGGGCAGACGGTGACACGTGACAGTCTGGCTACAAGACACCAGACTGCTATCCCTGTGAGATAGGCTGCCCGGCATGCCGAGGTCCAGACACCCCAGCCCGGCCCAATGACATCAGCAGCCACGGTTAGATTTCTGAACAGTAGGCACAACCGCCTCCAGTCGCTTTGGTTTCCAGGATGGAAACCCGACTATGAGTGTAGCTCGACTTAAGGATTTTATAAGAACAGGGGGAGTGTGTGTGACTGCTCACTGGAACGCAGCCCTGTCTCAGAAAATATAACAGCCAACATGCCAGAGGCTGGGTCTCGGTTACCATGGCAAATACACTAGCAGCTACGATTCCACAAAACCATGATACTTTTTTTGAGACGGGGAGGTATTCCAGCTGGCAGGCACACATTTCTTTTTGGTATTTATAAAATCCTTTCAGTCTCTCAGCATGAGCCTGTTCTAGTTTCTTTGGGTTTTATGTGTGTGTTTCTGGAAAAGTGTATTTGGTGGCCCTCTAAAATAGTTCACTTTTCTAAGAATTGAATTCAGAGAATTTTGTTTCCTGCTAAAAGATATGCAAGTGTGAAGCATCTAAAAGCTGCAGGTTGGAACCTTAACGAAGTCAGCCTTGACTTATTAGAACCCTCAGGAGACAAGGGCTACCCCGGAGCCACCCTTGGGACGAGCAGCTTGTCAAAACTCAGAGCCAGCTGCCGCCACCACTCTGTGACGCCGCCCTGAGACAACTGATATGTCAATGGTGGCGTGCTGTTTGCAGAGAAGCCCCGGTGGCATAGTGGTTACACGTTGGGCTGCCAACCTCAAGGTCCCCCAGTTCAAAACCACCAACCACTCCGTGGGAGAAGGCTTTCTAATCCTGTGGAGAGCCACGGTCTCAGAAACCCACAGGGGCAGTTCTACCCTGCCCTGTAGGGTCAACTCAACTATGAGTTGGAATCAACTCAATGGCAGTGGGTTGATAGAATGAGAGGTGTGAACCTTCCCCCCCCCAAGGGCCATTTGGATATTTGTGACATCACTCGCAGGCCAGATGGATCAGATATGTAATGAGCTCCCCCCTGATGTGAGGCTGGGTTTCCTTTTCTTTGTTGAGGTGGGTGATGTGAGCTGCTGTTGATGATTTCTCAATCCGTATATGGCCCAAGGCCCAGACATTCCCCAGCCTCACTCTAGAGATGAAACACAGACTCCAGATACAGCCACTGTGAAGGACAACAGCCCCGTGCTTGTCCGTCCTCGTGACATTAGTTCTAAATTGGAGTCTGGCGACAATGGCCCAGAGAAAGATATCAACGTGGCACGGGCCTTGGTGCCAAACCTGGTGCACGATCAGTGTTGTAGATTGCAGGCAACCACATGCAAATTCTACAAAAGGAGGCCCCTCCCGGCTGGACGTTTCCTCTGGTTTTTGAATCCTCGGTGGACAGCCCAGGGCCCACCCAGCGTGATGCAGTTGGGCCCATTTCTGACTCATTTTGTGGGCTTGATTGACATCAGGGCGCATGACCTTTGCTGTGCCAAGGGTACAGATCGCTTTAGAGTGTTGAAAAGCAAGGGTGTTCCTTTAAGAACTAAGGCGCGCCTGACCCAAGCCATGGTATTCTCCATGGCCTCATCTGCATGTGAAAGTTGAACACTGAATAAGGAAGCCGTATCTGAATGATAGTGCTGGAGAAGACTGTTGAAAGTACCTGTGGACTCCCAAGAGAATAAACAGCTCTGTCTTAGAGGAGGGATTGGCTTCCCATTCATCCCCATTTCAAGAGCTATCTAGAAATTCTCGAAGTGCTGTCTGTAAGTGGCTAATCTCTATATACCTACCTACAGGAAGGTCAGCTAATATGAATGTTATTCAAAATTAACACATCAATTCCTAAGGCCCACGATGAAGGGAACCCATCAAACATGCGATCAAGACGCGTGGATAATGACTGATGGTTCAAATGAGGAAGAAATCATCATTGTAAAATATGGTCTCAGTGATACAAACGAAGCTGGAAATAGCCCGATGGAATTTGACACACCCCACAATCTCTTCCTGATTGATACCTTTCTACCGACAACATAAGCAGCAGCTAGACACATGGGCCTCCCCAGAGGGTCTGCACAGGAGTCCAGTGGATGACATCGGTGGGAAGAAATGATGAAGCAGCTCAGTGTCAGCAGCCAAAACAAAGGCAGGGTCTGATGGTGGAGCAGACCACCCATTGCTCGTCTGCAAGTTCAGGTTGAAGCGTAAGAACATGAACATCGGTCCACAAGAGCTGAAAGAACCCTTGGAGTAGAGCGCATCCACGGTTCAAGAGCATTTCGAGCACAGGCTTGATGCACCGAATACTGATGAGTGTGGACCAGATGAGCTGTGAGGGGCATCAAGAACACTCAACGTGGAGACCGCAAAAGGCATGAAACAAAGAGAAGGTCACAGTGGTTGTCAAAAGAGACTCGGAAGTTTGCTCTTGAATGCAGTGTGGCTGAAAATAAACGATGAGGCGAAGGAGCTGAACAGAAAGCGTCCAAGGGCAGCCCAAGAAGATAACGTAATGTGTTACAAGGAAACGTGCAAGGACCCGGAGCTAGAAAAACAAAAGGAAAGGACACGCTCAACATCTCGCACGCTGGAAGAACTGTAGAAAAAGATTTAAGCTTCAATATCCAAAGCTGATGAATTCTATGGACCAAATATGGAGTGATGCAGGGAGCATCAATGGGAGATGGAAGGAATACACAGGAGCCATTGTGCCAAAAAGAATCGGTCAGCATCCAACCATTTTAAGAGGTAGCAGATGATCGACAACCGATGGTCCTGAGAAAAGAACTCCAAGTTGCACGGACGGCACTGGCGAAAACCAGGGCTCCGGGAAGGGACGCAGTACCCATGGGAATGTTTCAGCGAAGTGCTACAGCAGAGCTTCCTCTGTGCCAAGGATTTTGGGAAGCCAACAGGAGGAGATCCGTATGTGTGCCCATTCCAAAGGAAGGTGACCCAACAGGACGCAGAAATCGCCAAACAATATCATCATCATCACAGACACATAACCTTTGCCAAAGACCATTCAAAAATGGTGGCAGTGCCACATCGATAAGGCGCCGCCAGGAATTCAAGCTGAGTTCAGAAGAGCACGCGGAAGACAGGCTGTCGTTGCCGCAGCTAGATGGATCCCGACGGAAAGCAGAGGAAACCAGAAAGACGCGTACTTGGGTTTTACTGACGACGTGAAGGCATTCGACTAGGCTGATCATAGCGAGCCATGGATAGCATGGAGAAGAAGGGAATTCCAGGACACCGCACGGTGCTCCTGCAGAACCGTACACGGCCAAGAAGCAGTAGCTCAAACAGAACAGGAGCAGACTGCGTGGTTTCAAATCAGGGATGGTGTGTGCCGGGTGGTCTCTTTTCAGATTACTGGCTGAGTCTATATGCTGCGCAAATAATATGAGAAGCCAGACTTGATCAAGATAGGAGGAAAGCTCCTTCACAGCCTGCAGGCTGCAGATGACACAGCTTTGCTTGCTGAAAGCACAGAGGACTCGAAGTACTGACTGATCAGAGCAAGGACCACACAGCCTCACTGTGGATTACAACTCAGCCTAGAGAAGACGGGACACTCCCAGCTGCACCAGCAGATAGCGGCTTGCTAGACGGAGGAAAGACTGAGGTTGTCAAGGATCTCGTCTGACTGTCATCCGCAATCAACACCCATGGAAGGTCCTGTCAAGAACCCA